CTCGCGACGGCCGAACAATGACATGCGACTGCGTTACGATGGACACTCCAACCGTCATCGCACACAATACTGCAACGCCGTTCGAGTCATTACGGTCGCCCCTAGAACAATCGCGTCCAATAATACTGGACTGGCACGGTGGCGGGACTTGCCGCACACAACTTGCTATGAGCATACAAATAGTTTAGGAAATTCGCAGGCCATGTAAAATCAGGCTCCAATGTGGCGCGTGGCTGCGTTGGACGGGCGTGTCCAACATATTGATGCACCTACCTACCTTATTTCTTTACTGTTGCCCCATGCACGCGCAGCGCTCGTTCCAGCGTGACCAAAAGTGCGTGCAATGCTCGCCCCACCGTAACATGTTACAATACCGCTTGACCGCTTTCTGACACGTACTCTTCTAGCACCCGCCTTGCGCTTCTCAAAAGCCATTCAGTGCAAAGGCTTGGCTACGCACTCGCCCTGGAAACGCATCATACGTATTCGTGGCCAAACTGCTCCTCTAAGAATGCACGTCCGGTCGTAATGAATTCCTCATTGCTGATTGTCTAAGACTGCCTCTGCTTTATACCATCTTACCTGATCATGGCTGTGTTCCTTATCCCCTGCTGGCACCCGCCACTGAAACATGTCCTTCACTTTTCAAACGCCCTGGGCGTCTCTCGGAAGGTCGCCACACCGAATACTGCGCCGGCACAGTGGTGGAATCGCACTTCGATCGCGCACTCATCTGGAAAGGATATGCTTGGGCTTCGAAGTTTGAGGGGTCAAATCTAATGGCGCTGGACCCCCCAAAACAATGGACGAATGAACAACTCAGGAAACATAACATGTCCGCCTTTCCCGGAACGGGCAACTCCAGCAAAACACCTACTACAACTTATTGGAATCTACTCCTCGCCACACTATTGCCCAACACTCGTCTCCTCTCTCCTCTACTCCTCTACTCCTCTGTCGAGCTCCCCGTTGTATGCTGCCTAGCGTGCAGCACGACTTTGGCCACTGTCCAAAGACCCTGGGTGGCCCAGCGGAAAGCAGTTGCACGCAGATCAAGCTATGCTCCTTTCCCTCGTTGGGTGCTTTCAAACGTACATCTGCCATCACTTTCCTGCACCCCTGGGGGGCCCAGCGAGTTGCGCCCGTTCGCAGGTCAAGCGATTGCGCTCGCCCCCTTGGTGCTTCCGAACGCACGGATGTCGCCACGCCCCTCTGCAGTCAAGTTCGGGGATCTTCTGACCCGAGTCAATCCAGATCCGGGTCAGCAAGAAACCAAAAACTGCAATGCAGGAGTAAACAACTGCAACGCAGGCCTTCGCAAACCTGGGTCAGCCAACATGCGCGGCCGCCTCGCGGCCACGAGCGGCTCGCTAACCTGGGTCAGCCAGAGGGGGTCTTCGCAGGATCCTGCAGGATCCTGCAGGATCTGGTGCCCTGGCTGACCCTCGTCTGCATTGACCCCCGTCTCTTGAGCCCCGACAAGTGCTGCCGAACGACCTCCTGGCGACGAGAGAGTTCAACAGAGAGCGGACATACCAGCATCAGGGTACTAACGCCGCCGTCTTTGAATTCTGTCAGGCGTCGAGCGGTCGTCACTCTCCTGCGCACATGCGGGTCCAGCGGAGGACAACCACACGCAGATCCATACACACTCACACACATATATATATAATAATAATAATAATAATAATAATAATAATAATAATAATAATAATAATGATAATAATAATAATAATAATAATAAAAACACAATTTTACGCTTGCGCTGCCACACTTGCTACTGTCGCCATGTTACTGCGCACCTGGTAAATCAAGCGGAACACGATCCAACGTACATCAAGCCAGACCACGCCATGTGACCGTCGCCGCTCTCTGGCACAGCGGAGTGCGGTCATGCGCAGATAGAACTAGAACTCGCCAGCCGTGGTGCTCCCGCACTCACGATTGTCGTTGCTGTCATGCGCACCTCCGGTGTCCAGCGGAGCAGCTGGACTTCGCCCTCCTCTGGTGGTGGCAAGCGCAAAGAACTGCTGCTGCCGCTCTTGTGCCCCCCCCCCCCTGGAGAAGAAATCGTTAGCGGGGTGCCGCCACACGTCAATGTAACTTGATTTGTTTTTTACCCCCCAGGGGATCCGACGGGGCGTTGCCTCCAGGTCATCCGAACAGGTTCATAAGTCCTTTTGCACCTTCTACCCATAGCGTAAGCCTGCCCAACCTCATTATTACCAATGATGCTTTACATCGTCAGCAATGCCGGCGCACGACCGTCATGACAATTGATCGAAGTATACGAACCACTAGTCAAGAGGGCCAGAGCGAATCTGGACATAGCGATGGAAGTGCGAAAGGATTCTGCATCGGAAACCAGGGCAAGCGACGTGTTGAGAGAGGAAGAGTGGCCATGACATCCGGGCGATATCCCGCCACGATGTGTCCACACGCTCACACGCACACGCTCTCCTGATCCTCCTCCCCTTGCTTTTGGACGCGCCCAGCCAGCACTGCCTCCCTGCGGCCAGCGGCAGCGGCTCGGTCGGACGTATCTGGAGAAGTCGCCCCAGCCGAGCTCGGCCGAGGACTGCTCCAACCGGAGGGCGACCTGCTGGCCAGCGATGAAGCCCTGGGGGGCACACCGCTGCTCTTTAGGCCGCAGGAGGGCGTGGAGGAAGGATTGAGTCGGGCGCGTCCCTCTGCAGGAGGAATGTTCAAAGATAGTTCGAAACATAGTCTGGGCACGACTTGTTGACAATCCTTGGCTATTTTTGCATATCCTTTGAACAGTTTTCGTTTTTCGCCCAACATCCGCCTGTAGGAAGACATGCCCTACCTAAAGGAAGGAGTGAGAAGCCTAGACCTCCTCCACGTTCGAAGCTTTGAAATCAAAGCAATTGAAGTTTTGTGGGGCTTCGGAGAAGCCTCTCGTCGGCACGGCTGGGTTTGCCTTGAAGTCCTGCCCAGACCCCAGAATGCGCCCCCCGGGGTAATGAAGCACACAATTACAAAACAAACCCAAACCTCTTCGCGCCGCACAATTTCAAAGCGGGATTTGTTTTGCTCAGCTCTGGCCTCCAGTGACCCTCACGAGAACCTCGGGCCCTCAACATCGACTCGGATGAAAAAAAACTTCCAGGGAAGTGGTAAAGATCTCTGAGGGTCCGACTTGGTGAAGAGATCACTGCGTCGGAGGTCGGAGGTTTCAGGGTGTAGAGGAATCGTAGCAAAGGATGGTAGGCAAGGATGAGGACAGTAAGGAATATTTGGGGACGGGCAGAGAGAGAGAGAGAGAGAGAGAACGAGGGCAGAGGGGGATAAAAGAGGAAGGAAGAATCCGTCAGAGCCTGGCACAACCAAGGCATGGTTTCCCAACCATCCTGTGGTGCTGGGTCCTCGTTTTGAAAAGACAGCGCCCCGCGTCACTTCCTCCTCACTCCTCCTCCCCCTCTTCCTCCTCCTCCTCCTCCTCCTCCTCATCCTCATCATCATCATCCTCATCCTCATCCTCATCATCATCATCATCATCATCATCATCATCATCATCATCATCATCATCATCATCATCAGCATCAGCATCAGCATCAGCATCATCATCATCATCATCATCATCATCATCATTATCATCATCATCACCATCAGCATCATCCCACCCATTTGGGCACATCCCTCGCACGGTTCGTGGCCCCACAAGGAGCTCCACCGAAGGCCCCAATGGCACAGGCCCCTCACACGGTTCGTGGCCCCACAGAGAGCTCCACCGAAGGCCCCAGCGGCACAGGCCGCATGCGGGGACCGCGCCCATTTTGGCACACCCTTCACACGGTTCGTGACCCCACAGGGAGCTCCACCGAAGGCCTCAGTGGCACAGTTCGCATGCGGGGACCGCCACCCATTGTGGCACACCCCTCGCACGGTTCGTGGCCCCACAGGGAGCTCCACCGAAGGCCCCAGCGGCACAGGCCGCGCGCGGGGACTGCTACCCATTTTGGCAAACCCCTCACACGGTTCGTGGCCCCACAGGGAGCTCCACCGAAGGCCCCAGTGGCACAAGCCGCATGCGGGGACTGCACCCATTGTGGCACACCCCTCGCACGGTTCGTGGCCCCACTGGGAGCTCCACCGAAGGCCCCAGTGGCACAGGCCGCATGCGGGGATCACCACTCATTTTGGCACACCCCTCACACGGTTCGGAGCCCCACAGGGAGCTCCACCGAAGGCCCCAGCGGCACAGGCCGCATGCGGGGACCGCCACCCATTCGGCACACCCCTTACACGGTTCGTGGTCCCACAAGGAGCTCCACCGAAAACGCCTGTGGCTCACTCCGCATGCGGGGACCGCCACCCATTTTGGCACGCCCCTCACACGGTTCGCGGCCCCACAAGGAGCTCCGCCGAAGGCCCCAGTGGCACAGGCAGCATGCGGGGACTGCTACCCATTTTGGCACACCCCTTACGCGGCTCGTGGCCCCACAGGGAGCTCCACCGAAAGCGGTGCCAACAATGCTGTACTCGCAGCGGCATATGGTTGGGCCCTTCGCCCGGCCATTTTTTTTTGGGGGGGGGGCACCGTGCCCGACCAGTGCGGCAGTTCACAGCGACCTGCTCGCAGCCTCCCGAGCCGCTCTGCGGGCACGGATGGCCTCCAAGCGTGGCAACGGTGCTGCAGAGGTCTTTCAAGCGCCCCGCCGGGCGACCTCAAGAACAACGGTGGCCTCTTTGCGCCCAACCTGCTCTTCAGGTTCGGCGCGCGACACGGGGGCACTGCGCAGCGGGTGCAGGCCGCGGCGCAAGCGAGACAGCACCTGCGATCAACTTCCAACACCCCCTGGCCTGCAAGTTGCCGCCAATTGCCGAATCTTGCGTTGCGAGTAGGCTCCACGCGCGAGACGGAAGAACAATGGAGTTTTCTCGTCACCAACTTGCGTGCTAGCGAGCTTGTGGCCCTTTTCAGGTGCGCCACGCGCTCTGGGAAGCCTCCACAGCCCAACTCGGTTCTGCCCTGGAGGCTCCCTCCCATAAAGCTCGAGACACTGGCCGCATCGGTAACCCCAAAACGCGGGCACCCAAGTTTGCCAAGATGTCGCCTTGTCGAAGTTCTTCCTCGGGCGGGGTCTTCTAAAAGGCCTTTGGTGTGAGGCCTTTGGAAAACACGGCAACGCATCAGCGGCCACCCTGGCCGCCCACTCGACTTGGCGCACAACATGCTGAAGCCGCTTGCACTCGACCTCAGACGGCCTGGGGTGGACCCCGACCGCCTTTTTAGCCTCGAGATCCGCCCTCCACTTAGCCTGGCCCATACTTCGATCGGGCTGCGACAACATCTCAATATTATCCTCTAGCTTCCTGTGCGCAGGCGTGTGACCAGCTGGGTTATACTTCTGATTCTGCATAAGGATCAGGGCACCTCGTCGTGACCCCCGTAGCGCTGCTTCGGAGACATATGTTCCAACGGGGTCTTATCGTGGAGCGTTACCGCATTCGTGCAATCACTGTAGCGCGGGACAGTTAGGCCAGACACAAAGATGGGCAGTAAAGCGAGTTGCAACTGTTCCGCAGCCTGACTCGTCTGCGGGAGCGATGGCCACATGGGTCCTCTCGCGACGTACTTCGGCTCCCCCTGCTCATTGAAGAAGGCCCAAGAGTGCGTTGCCCTAGACAACTCGCGGATAGTGCGAGGTGTGCAAGAACCACCCCCAGCCTGATAAAGACCACTGGTGTTGAGCCCATTCCACTAAACATTATTCCCCTCGCTATCATATAGCACAGGCGCGTGCTCATCACTGACAGCAGGCCCACAACTGACGGGATGATCCATCTTGGGGCTTCCATGCATCTGAAAATCGCCAGCTAGGGCGTTCTGGCAGAATTGGTTGGGCAATTCCAGCGAGTCTCTCGCCTTGGCCACCTCTTCATGCTGGCACTGGTGCAAGCGGTGTCCTGCCGCGCCAGGTTCCCGACGCAATGGGCGCATGCCAAGACCTAGATAGCCAGCAATTTCTGCTCGATCCTCGGCCCGCAAGCCTTCGCCGAGGGCCGACCTGAGCAATTACTTTCCTTGGGCCGTGAGGCCTGCCCCCCTGGTCCGAGGGCCCACGAGCCGACGGATGGGCGCCGCGCAAACTCTGGCCCCAGGGTTCCAACCAAGTTTGGCCACCAAGGCTCTCTCATGAAAACGCTGGGCGCCGTTCTCCAGCAAACGAGCTATCATAGGCGAGGTGGGGCACGAGAGACTATTCTCAATTCCCATATCACCAATTCAGCCGAGAGGCGCTTCGGCACGCCATCCTATTCGTTTTAGCGACAGGTGCATCCTACTGATGGGTGACCCAGCTGAATCCTTCCCTGTCCACCGCCCTCCACATCGCGCGCAAGTCCTTGACCGAGAACTGCGCAAAATTGGGCCTCGCGGCAAGGCTCCGCACCGCCTGGGCCCACGCGATGGCAGGAGCGACCATGCTCCTCCAAAGAGGATCTTCAACGAGCGCAATCTTCGCCCGCGTGGATACACCGGCATGCCGAGGGACATGAAAAAGGCAAGAGCACACTCCGCGCGCGCTTGAGTTCTCCGCCGGTCACGCCGACGATCGTATCTCCAAAAGAAAAAGCAGGTTTCGCCCCCGCAGTGCAAATCTTACCCACCCCACCTCGGTCCCTAGGGAGGGCCCTCTGATAACGCTGAAGGACACGGTGCCTCCTAACCATGTCCTCAAACCTCCTCCGACGTTTCGTGAGGTGCCACTTTTTACTCCTGCCTCCACCCGGGCGCCAAATCACATCCGATGGAAGTCACGCGGGTGCCAATTTGTCACGCCAGGATTCCGGGGCGTTCAGCGAGGCGACGAGCAGACCCTTGATCCGAAGCAAAGGTCATCAGCTTATATCGTGCGAGGCTAACCCCCAGTTCCTGAATGAAGACGCGGTCCAAATCGATCGCCACACCTCCTAGGGCTTCGAGCAAATTGCTCTGCTGGCCGTAGCAACTGACAGTGTCGTCGCCGATGTGCGACGACAGGGCCACGCGCGGGTTGCGATGCACAAAACCATCAACCGGCTGCGTCGCGTGCAGTTTCAATAAGGTCGTTGAAGCGCGATCCAGCGGGAAGACCGCTGGTAGCATGCAAGTTCGCAAGGCTGTGTTCTGATCGCAATCGCAGGATTCGCGGTCCCGTCCAGAAGGCGAGCGTGACTTTGACAATAATTGGCCCAGGTCCAGCCTCCAAAATTCTCATTCTCAAAATTTCTAAATCAAGACTTTCGCAACTCTTGGTGCCGCCCCAAGAACACCCAGCCGCGACTCCCCCTTCTTCCACCCGGGCTTCCGCCTTGACCGCCTGGCCCCAGACGCGAGCTTCCGCCGACCTCCCCGCGCCGAACGCCCAGTGCTGCCGAGGGCGTTGCTCCGAAATGGCCGCGAGGTGGGGCCTCCTGGGCTTCTCCCGCAACCGAGCGGGCGCAGCGCGCAGGAGGATGGGTCGCGAGCCCCCATCGGGTTTCTCAAGGACGGGGAAAAGCATCCAGCGCGGGGCCCTCGGATACAGTCTCAATTTCTCAATCGATTGAAAAATGCAAGCGAAGGCGTCCAGCCCCTCATCGGTCAGGCGCGCGAACTGTCGCACGTGCGACCTTCGATGGACTGCGCTGTGCGCGGCGAGAAGGCCCTGGCGGCCGAACGGATGTCTTCCGCGCTCAGCCAGGCAAAACAGTTCCAATCAGGGACATCAGCAGGGGGCGGCAAGGTGGTAGCATTCCAAAAACTCTCAGGGGCATCGGCCTCCGGCAACGAACGCGGGTCGGAAGTGGAAACCCCCGGGGCGTTCTCGGTGACCGTGGGCCCCCACTTGTGTTTGAGACGGGTCAATCGATGCATCTTGCGCGCAGGGCCTGCTAAGGCTTCCGCTAGCCACTGATCCCATCCCTTCCTTTCCTCCCCATCCTATCCTTCCCTCGCCCCCGAGAAGTCCTCCTCCTCCCATTCCTCCGGAAGCTCGGCGAACTGGTCGACCCAGTCGGCGCGCCCAGCGAGTTGCACAGGCCACTTGGCCATCGCCTGGCGGGCCTTCGCGACCGCGAAGTCAAGCCCAGGCGATGTCCCTTCTGCGTCGCAGGGCGGAGAAACAATATCGATCAAATGGCGCGCAGCTTGGACTTCGGCCTGGTCGACCATCGGGCCCATCTGCACGACTAACCTCAGGCTCGTGTTCAACAGATCCGCGGTATCCTGTTGAAGGCAGACCCAACCGACCCAGGCGCGGACCTCGCCCTCCCCCTTGCGCCGAGGAGGTCGGGGCACAGGGGCCCAACGGGCAACGAGAGGCAAATCCTTCTTCCCCGAGCGCTCGCTGGGGGTGTCCAGCTTACTTTCAAACCCCAGTTCCATCGCGTCCGAGAAAGCTTTCCAAGCTTCGTCCAGCGTCCCGCGCCGCGCAGACATCGCGGGCGTCGGCGACGAGGTTAGCCTTCTCGGCTATCGCTCTGGGCAAGGTCCAGTCTAAAGGCTCTCTCGAGAGTTCGTAGGGGAGGTCCGTGGGGAGCCTCTGGTGGCTGGTGCATACCAGCTGGTGCAACTTTATAGCCTCTGGCCTGAGTGGCAGCTGCGCAAGACGATGGGGCCGCTTGGCCCGAGTAGTCAAAACGGTAACTTGCTGCACAAGGTTGCTGAAAACCGCCGATGCCAGCAAATGGTCGATGGCGGTGTTGGCCTGCGGCATCGCGCAGGTCTCCATCGGGGGCTGCAGGATGAGCATGACAGCCCTACGCGGCATGCCTGACATCTCCAAGCAAGCGAAACCGAACTTCCAAAGCAATGTGCTGTCCCTCTAACACATGCCCTGCTTTGCTGAGTATGTTGATGCTCCTCTGACTCAGCCCCTCCCCAGTGTGCATGCACGCGCTGCCTGCAAGAAGTGGTGGCCAGCCTGGGAAGTCAACCTGAGCAAAAAGAAACCCGTGCGGCACCATGGTACCTTTGGTAACGCGTGGTGGCCATCGTAATCCGATCGTGATCCGCGCGAAGATGGCCACGCCAGCCGAGAACTGCCCATGCTCGCAAGGCATGGCAGGCGCGCGCAGCATGTTCCATCCCATGCTCTTAGCAGTACTACCTCGGGGATGAAGTCTCCTGAACGCAAACCACTAGGGCCGTCGTGGAAGTTCACCTCTTCCTAAGTGTGCCCCGGCTGTTGCTATTATAATATGCGAACACGCGCGCAACCGAATCGCCATGAACGGGGGCGGCGGAGACAAGCGGGCGGTCTACACCATGGGTTGAAATCTTGAAACCCGCGCAGCGAGGGGCAAGTGCCACGCGCACTGCCGTCGACTCCTCGCCCTGCGCGTCGCAGAAGCCAGGCGAGCTACCTAACGGCGTCGCGCGAGGCCCACCGACACCGGTGGCGCGCAGGTGCTGCAAACGATAACCGGCTGCCATCATATCGCGGTGAGTGTAGTCCAGTAGCCAGCGCCGCGTCATCATCACATTAAAGACTCCTTGCGCTGCTTCGGGAATCTCGTAACATCGACTTCCACAATAAAGATCACCGCTGCCAGCGCTATCAAAAGATACTTCGTCATCAAAGCTGCCACGTTCGAGGGCGCTTGACCTTGGCGGAGAGGAGTGCATCCAAGATCGCCCTCTTATCCCCCTGGTGCTTCTCCCAGAACTGTTCAGCATCGGCCATGTCAGCGAACGCATCATCGAGGCCTGTGTCCATGGGCACGGGCTGCTGCGCGTGCTGCCGGTCTCCTGCGCCACCTGACGCCGAAGCGGCAGCCCCAGCATCAGTCCCGCCATCACCAGGAGGAAACGCCGCCTTGGCCTTAGCGGCCTGCGTACGGAGGAATGTAACGAACTCTTTGACAACCTCCGTCTCGAACGTGGCCTGGATGGACGCTTTTCCGTCCAGCAGCTCTTGCGGAACGCCAGAATCATCCAGCACAGGCCCAGCATCACCGCCAGCAAGCGGAAAGGGATGACACCAGCTGCTTCTGCAGCTCGTCGCACACCGCCTCCACGGCGATCCTCTTGGCATCCAGATCGGCACGATCATCTGCATCTGCTCGGCACGATCCACGACGCTCCACATCTTGGATCCACAACCTTGTCGTGCTCGGCCAGCTCGTCCTTGAGTTTCGTGAGCCTCGCACATGCACGATTGACCCTGCGCCCCACGTTTTGTGCTACATCCTTAAGCTGCTGCTCCAGCATCTTCTTGGCGGGCGCCATACTCTCTCCCTTGCAAGCGCTGATGGCCACCTCGAGCTGGCTCGCCTCTGCTCGCAACGGGTCCTCGGCGGGCTCGTCGGCTGCCTGTCCGCCTCCCTGGGCCGCCTGAGCCCGCGGTGGCGAAGCGGTGAACTGCTCGAGCTTCTTGGTGAGCTCGGCCAGCTTCTTTTCCATGCGCGCCTCACGCTTGGATCCCGCAGCTGGCAACCGCACGCGGCCACCATTGCCATCACCACCGCCGCCAGCAGCCTGATCCCCAAAAACCAGGGCCTTCTTGACCACCGCGGGCGGCGCCTTGGCCCCGCAGCGGCAGCGCAGGCGACATGCCCATTTCGACGTGAGCCCGCACTGCTGGCAGTTCCAGAACGGCTGCTTTGGTCCGCGGACCACGTCTCCATCCATGGGGGATGCCTTTGTGAGCGAGGCGAGAAACTGCGGGGTTTGAGGTACCCCACTGCACAGAGGTTTTGAGCTACCGTAGAACTGAAGCTAAACAGGAACGCGACAGCGACTGCCACTCTGACTGTCGCAAGTCCAGAATCGCCTGGGCCAGAACGGCTCACAAACAAGGCAGGCGAGGAGGGGGTGACTGAACATGATGAGCAGGAAAAACCTGGTAAGAAGAAAGCGGAGCAGGACCACAATGAAGAGCAATACACATGATATCAGAAAGCCTCGCCCTTCAATATATCCCTGCTTCTCCCCTCTGGCGTCATTGACTGTGGGCAATCACAAGAGAACAGGCTCCTTCAGCGACGGTCCGTCCCTGCTCTCGACCTGGAACTCCGACGAGGGAGCGTCGCCAGTCCCGCAGAGCTTGATGACGCCTTCGGCGTGCACCAACAATGAACTCTGATTCAAAAGAAGGGGAGGCGGACAGCCCTCCTTGCACTCCTAAATTCATTATTTGTTCCTCCCTCCGTCCTCCTGCGCCTTCCTCCTCCTCCTCCTCCTCCTCCTCCTCCTCCTCCTCCTCCTCCCTCCCCTCCCTCTGCTCCTCCTCCTTCACCTCCTCCCTCCTCCTCCTCCTCCCCCTCCTCCTGCTCCTCTCCTCCTCATCATCCTCCTCCTCCTCCTTCTCCTCCTCCTCCTCCTCCGCTTCCTTCTTTTCCACTCTAGCACGCGTAAAACATCATCCAGCCACTGCACATCCAGCATCGGCCATCGAAACGCCCTGGACGTCTCTGCTCCCCTGGGGCGCTGGCGGTCGGCGGAGTGGCGCAAGCCGCTTTCCTGCAATCATGGGATGCATGGGGCATTGCAGTACCCGTCGGTCGGAAGAAGTAAGTAAACACATCAAGTAGGACGGCGTTGGAAGTAGATGAGAATTCCGCCCGCCCCCTGAAAAGGAGGGAAGAGAAAAAACAATCGGATCCTTGAAGTAGGAAGGCGGTATAGTAGATTAGGATCCGATTAGGATCCGGGAACCTAGAAATACCTACTTTCAACGGCCGGCGTGTACCTATTCTGAGCGACAGGCTTTCCCTCCAGGAGCGGGCAGCTTGCTACAGCCAAGCCCACGCACAAGGACGCGCCGCCCCCTTCCCCATCCGCCTACAGTATAATACTTCCTCCTCCACCTTCCCTCCTGTCTCATCTCTGCTCCCTCGCTTCCCCTGCCTCCCTCTCCCTCTGCCCCATCCCCTCTTCTCTTCCCTCCCACTTCTCACGGGCCCCTTTCCCGTTTCTCTCCTCGTCCCTGCTTGTAGCCCCCCGCCCCTCCCCCAGAAGAACACAACAACACTCGGACGATGATACAACCAACTCATGCCTGATCGGCCAATCGCGTCACCTAAGCAAGCCGGCTGTTGAAAAGGTGACCTTGGGGGCTCCTCCCCCTCCTCCTCCTCCTCCTCCTCCTCCTCCTCCTCCTCCTCCTTGTCCTCCTTGCCCTCATGCTTGTTCTACTCTCCTCTTCACCTCCCCCTACCCCTCTCTCCTCGTCCTCCTCTCGTCCTCCTCCTCCTCCTCCTCCTCCGCCTCCTCCTCCTCCTCCTCCTCCTCCTCCTCCTCTTCCTCCTCCTCCTCCTCCTCCTCCTCCTCCTCCTCCTCCTCCTCCTCCTCCTCCTCCTCCTCCTTCCTCCTCTCCTCCTACCTCCTCCCCACCTCCTCCTCCTCCTCCTCCTCCGCCTCCTCCTCCTCCTCCTCCTCCTCCTCCTCCCTCCTCCTCCTCCTCCTCCTCCTCCTCCTCCTCCTCCTCCTGCTCCTCCTCCTCCTCCTCGTCTTCCTCCTCTGCCTCCTCCTCCCTGGGCCGATGCCGTTCCATCCAGGTTAAGGGGAAAGACGCAAGGGACGCCCGGGGCGCCACTAAGAGTTCTTGGAGCACGACGAGCACCCCTGCGTAACCCCTTTTTCCAGGGAGCGGCAGGACGACAGTGGCGTAGGAAACTGGTCCGCATTGATGGCTGCAAATCGGCCTTCCTGCCGTCGCGGGCGCGGACCTCGAGCCCACAGCTAGCACGCACATGCAGGGCATTCGAGGTAACTGGTCCGCGTAAATGGCCGAAGCTCGGCCATCCTGCCGTTGCGGGCGCGGCAAATTCAGGGCCAGACCTGTAGATGGCCAGTGCGGGTTGCTAGCAGTTGCGGGCGCGGCAACTGCATGCCACTACTGGTATCCCGTGGGAGCCAGATCTGGCTTGGATGGTGACCCCTGTCGATGGACAGGCGTTGGCATCGAAAGGAGGCGCTCCGAAGGGAGCAGGAGAACGTGGCTTGGCTTCTCAGCAGGCAAGGTGCTTCTCGGAAGCCCTGGGAGGACTTCTCTTTCGTCCTCCGGAGGGTTCTGTGAATCACGTTTCTTACTAGATAGCCTTGACCAGTACTGATCCGCGTAGATGGCCAGAGCTCGGCCATCCTGCCGTTGCGGACGCGGCAGCTGTCTGCCAGACCTAGTATTCGATGGAACCAGCCTTGGCTTGGATGGCCAGCCCTGTCGGTTGACTGGCGTTGGCATCCACAACCTCGAACCTGGAGCTAGGATGCCCGTCCCTGTTTCCAGGGGGCTCATCGGCCTCCTACCCTCACAACGAAAGCAAAACTAGGCACCCGAGGAACCTGGTCCGCAAAGATGGCCGGAGCTCGACCATCCTGCTGTTGCGGGCGCGGTAACGTGATGCCACTACGGGTATCCCGCGGCATGTACCCTCACGTCGAGTGGTACGGGACCAAGGCGCCCGTTAAGCCAGATCATTTCAAGTCCTCCTCCTCCTCCTCCTCCCTCCCTGGTCCGCGTAAGTGGCCGGGGCTCGGCCATCCTGCCGTTGCGGGCGCGGCAGCTGTCTGCCAGTCCTGGTATCCTGTGGGAGTGAGCTCTGGCTTGGATGGCCAGCCCTGTCGGTTGACGGGCGTTGGCATCCACAACCTCGAGCCTAGAGCTAGGATGCCAACGAGGGCAAAACTAGGCACCCGAGGAACCTGGTCCGCATAGATGGCCGAAGCTCGACCATGCTGCAATTGCGGGCGCGGCAACGTGATGCCGATGCCGATACAGCTATCCCGTGGCATGTACCCTCACGTCGAGTGGTACGGGGTTAAGACGCCCCTCAAACCATATCATTTCCAAGTCCTCCTCCTCCTCCTCCTCCTCCTCCACCTCCTCCTCCTCCTCCTCCTCCTCCTCCTCCTCCTCCTCCTCCTCCTCCTCCTCCTCCTCCTCCCCCCTCCCTGGTCCGCGTGGATGGCCGGGGGTCGGCCATCTTGCCGTTGCGGGCGCGGCAGCTGTCTGCCAGTCCTGGTATCCTGTGGGAATCAGCTCTGGCTTGGATGGCCAGCGCTGTCGGTTGACTGGCGCTGGCATCCACAACCTCGAACCTGGAGCTAGGATGCCCGCCCCTGTCTCCAGGGGAACCCGCGGCATCCTGCCCTGTCAACGAGGGCAAAACTAGGCACCCGAGGAACCTGGTCCGCATAGATGGCCGGAGCTCGACCATCCTGCCGTTGCGGGCGCGGCAACGTGATGCCGACACGGCTATCCCGTGGCATGTACCCTCACGTCGAGTGGTACGGGGTTAAGGCGCCCTGCCCCGTAAGCCATATCATTTCAAGTCTTCCACTTCGTCCTCCTCGTCCTCCTCTCCCTCCTCCTCTCCCTCCTCCTCCTCCTCCTCCTCCTCCTCCTTTGCCTCCTCCTCCTCCGCCTCCTCCTCCTCCTCCTCCTCCTCCCCCTCCTCCTCCCCCTCCCCCTCCCGTTTTCCTCTCCTCCTCCTCTCCCTCCCCCTCTCCTCCTCCTCCTCCTCCTCCTTTTTCACCTCCTTCTGTTTCGTCTCCCTCCCCTCTCCCCTCCCCGGCCTTCTGCTCCCGCCTCTCCCCTCCGTGCTCTTCCTGGTCCTCCTCTTTGTCCTTCATTTTTGCATTTTTTTTTTGTTCTCTCTCTCTCTCTCTCTTTCTCTGTGTCTCTCCTTCTATATATGTATATGTACTTGTTTTTTTTTTTTTTTTTTTTTTTGTTTTTTTCTTCTTTTTGTTTTCTCTCTCTCTCTCTCTCTCTCTCTCTCTCTCTCTATATATATATATATAGATATAATACCGGAGAAAAGCTCCAGTCAGGGCTATAGGGCTATGGGGCTATACCGTAGGGCTATTGAGCTATAGGGCTATAGAGCCATCGGGCTATAGAGTTGTAGAGCCATCGGGCTATATTGGGCTATAGGGCTATAGAGCACCCCCGGGCACCCCTGGGCACGCCCGGGCACCCGGGCAACCGGGCACCCCCGGGCACCCCCGGGCACCCCCGGGCACCCGGGCGTGCAGCGAAAATCGGCGACAAACCTAACCAGATGAATCCGCTAGGACCCCTACAGAGGCAAGCCCTGATTGGGGAATCTATCTCCCCCTCCCCCAGCATACTCCTCGCTCCTTCCTCACATCCGATCCCTGCTGTCTTACGCAGCGCTTGAACTAGATGCACCAACTCCGTAGTCTACCAGAGAGAAACGAACGGCAACAGTCGACGAGGGTCGAAGGTCGAAGGCCGGCGTGCGCTGGAGCGCGCCGTGCTCGGGCTGCCAGGCGGAATTCTCACAAGGTGACGACGTCGGGATTCGCGCGCGCGCGCGATTTCTCGCAGGCCTCTTCCAAAATTATCCCAGGCTCACGGCATATTCGTAAGGCTGACGACGCACGAGTCTTCCCACAGGTTTTACATGCCGACGCCACCTGTCCACAGCCTCAGAGGCCGCCCTGGCGCCCGGAGCCCGAACGGCAGCAGCCGACGGGGGCGAGAAACTAACACACACATTCGATTATACTTCTCCTTCCCATCATCATCCTCATCATCCTCATCATCCCCATCCTCATCCTCATCAGCAACATCATCATTATCATCATTCCCATCATATCATCACTAACATCGCCATCGCCATCACCATCACCATCATCAGCATCATACTCATCATCATCATCACCAGCACCATCATCATGCTCATTATCAACTGCATCATCATCATCAACACCATCAGCATCACTACCCTCCTCCTCCTCACCATCATCATCATCATCATCATCATCATCATCATCATCGACATCATTCGTTATCGTCATCATCCCTCCTCATTCCTCCCCCTCCCTCCGAGCCCCTCCCGCCCTATTCCAACACGCGAAGGCAATCTTGACGAACCGCTGGGATTGCATAGCGTGTCATCTGCTCTGAATCCTCCTACGCACCCGTTTCACCTCAACACCAGTTCACGTCAAGCCAGCGCCACGACGACCCATGATGCATAGCATCATGTTGAACACGTGACTTCGCACGCCTCCATACTCACTACAAGTACCTCGATACAATATGTTCATCGTGATTCCTCTGATGTGATTACAACACACCTGGAGCTGAACTATAGCGAGCTGCTGCACAATGCTTGGACTTTGAGTGATGCTAACGCGTTAATCAGGCACATCACATCGTCGCCAATGTGTCTGGACAATCTCGCATGCAGCCGTAACAAAACAAACAAGCCTTCGAACGCTTGCCTTGCGTCCTGCTTCTGGACTCCGGCGATTTCCCAAAGCTGGGAGCATCGTGTTATACATGGTGGGAGCACAGGTGAGGAACAGGGGCAGAGATAGTGCATGCCGAGACATCATGAGAGCAAGTGTCAAGACCCCCCTTTATCTTCATAACGAGACGGAGCGAGTCTGCGGTCGATTGGCTAAACCCCCCCCTTCCGACTCGTCACTTTCTCGCTTGCGTGCTGGATGCACGGGGGATCGTGTACCAGCCGCTCAGATGACACAGGGCTGGGCGACTTGGCTCTGTGGAGGGTGGAAGGGGAGGGTGGAAACAAAACGATGAGGAGAGTCAGGAGGTGAAAAAACAAGCAGACGCAATTAATCGTCGATTCCCAAGAAAATATGAGAAAATATGGGCATCGGGGGGGAAGACAAAAACCCAGAAAATATATGAAAATATCGGGAATCCTGTTATTTGTGTGTATTTATTTGTGTTTTCCAGGGCCCCTTCAGAGAGTGGGGGGGCAGAGAGACAGAGAAAGAGAGAACGAGAATGAGAGAGAGAGAAAGAGAGAAAGAGAGAGAGAGAGAGAGAGCCGGGCTCCCACGAATGCGCGCGGCTTTTCTCGTTTCATCCCGCAGCAGGGCCGGGGGAAACTCGCAGCAGATGCGCATCGGGTCCCTGGCTGGCCTCCAGGCCGGGGCTCCTGACCTCTCCCGCTCCCCCCAAATCCCCCCCCCCGCCACTCTTCCTCATTACCCCCTCCCTTCTTTCCACGCTGCCCCCTCCCTCCCTGTCCCCCGGCCTCTCCCTTCCGCTTCCCACCTCCCCTGTCCCTCCCTTCCCGCCCCTCCCCGTGCACCTCCGCCCCTGGGAGCGCTTGGCATCCGCTGCTCGAGGCTGCAGAGATTTCCAGCATGGAGGCTCTGGGGCCGCAGGCTGCCCCTGAGAGGGGCCGGGAGGAGAACGGCGGCGAGGGAGAAACGAGATCCGTGACGGCTTTGAGCACGGTAGGGGGTCGCAGGGGTCCCTTTGGGCCCTCGTGGGCTAACTTGGGGCACTCTTCAGCTGTTTTGGGACCCTCCTGGGCGAAGCCCTCGTGGCCGGCTGGGAAGTCTGTCGAGGCCGTCGAGGGGCCGCCCGACATGGGTACGGAAAGAATGGGTACAATGCCCAACAGCAGTTCTTGCTCATTCTGAACAGGACTCGCTGTCGGTGTCGCCGCGGCCTGCGTAAATTTGAGACAGAGGGCCGCCTGCCCAACAGCGGCCGCTGTTGGTTTGGGACAACATTTGTTGTTGGGCATTGTGCCCATTCTTTCCGTGCCCATTTCGGGCGTCCAACGTTGCCAAGCTTAGCTGCCCCCATACGCAACACGCAACACGTACCGTATAGATACGGAGCTCAACACTTCGGCTGAATACGTGGGTCCGACGCGATACATTCGCCAAAACGCGGTCCAATACGTGGAGCCGACACGCAACGTATTGACACGGACGTCTTGAACATGGGACGTGTTGCATTTCCAAACGGGCGTATCGAGGCAGCCAAGTTGCCCACGGGAGGAATCCTCCTCCTCCTCCTCCTCCTCCTCCTCCACCTCCCCCTCCTCCCCCCCCCCCGTCTCCTCCTCCTCCTCCTCCTCCTCCTCCTCCTCCTCCTCTTCCTCCTCCAAGGGTGGGGGGCCCGCACGACTTCGCGGCGCGGGGGAGGCAGGGGGCCTCCTCGCCGCGAGGACGGGGAGGGCGAACGCGAGGGCGAGGAGACGTGGCGAAACGTCCGCCTGTGCATCGTATAGGATGTCGTCCCAGTCCCAGTCTCCACCTGGCAGGCGGATGCTGGCTTCTCTGAGCGCCGGACACGTGACACAGCGTTTGACAACTTCGCCGTCGTCGTCTCTCTTTCTCTGTCTCTCTCTCTCTCTCTCTCAGTTTCTCGCGCTCTCTCTTGCGAGGCGGGGGCTTATACACATCCACCGCCTGGGAATCCAATGCCCTAAGGCAACAAGACGCACTCTCTCTCTCTCTCTCGCTCTCTCTCTCTCTCTCTTTCTCTCTCGCTCTCTCTCTCTCTCTCTTTTGTTCGTTATTTCTCCCTCTCTCTCTCTCTGTCCGTCTTTCTTTCTCTTTTTGTTTCGCTCTCTCTCTCTCTCTCTCTCTCTCTCCCTCTCAACTCACCCCGCTCTGTGCGCGTTCGACCGCAGACCGTGCCTCGCCTAGCCATTTCCATACCGAAGCCATGGCTACTTGCGTCCCGTTCCACATGCGGGCGACTACCACCTCATGTCTGCCGTTGCCCAGTATGCTCGCCATCGGACGCCCTGGCAATCTTTTGGCCACCCGCAGCCCATCAGCATTCTAAGCGTCTCAAGCCATGCGCCCTGCTTATACACCCAACAGCAGTGGCCAGCATATAATAGCCTAGATTGTAGACGCGCTTCGTTTCTTTCGCATGTTGAACGTCGGTGCACAAAGAAAACTGATGCGTCACATAGAGCCTTCTAATTACCAGTGCGCCTCTGGCGTGGAGCGACGATTGCATTGGTGCCTGCCTGCCCGCAGAAAGTCTCTCAGGACATTTGTTAGCACGCGCCTTGATCTGACTATGTTGTACAACTGTATTGAAACAACAGTGTCTGGAACTCGCCGATGGCATTCTACGCTCCGCCAGGTCTTTCGGAGAGGTGCTGCCTCTCCTCCACATTTTCGCTTCTCCTCCACCTCCTTCTAGGCCAACTCCTCCACTTCCTCCCTGTGCTTCTTCCTCGTACTCTTCTTCTCGCGTCTCATCCTCCTCATCATCCTCGCCCTCTCGGGAGCGGCCAAGAGGGGGTGTCCAAGAGGGGGGGGTGTGCAAATCATGACCAGCGGCATGTGCGCGGCCCAGCGGGGAGGCCAGGGACGTAATGAAATAAGAAGAGGCGGCATGAAATCTGGGGAAATATCATGGCCCCCGCCGTGATATCCACCCCCCCTAGTCATCACCCCTCTCTTTGCCGCCCCCGACCATCGTGGCCCGCAGCAGAGGACCACAACTCAGGACTGTTGCCTAAAACCCAAGAGCACTGTGATGGAGCCAACCTCTGGCTTGTACATGCGGCCACCTCTGTCAAGGTTGCTGATCAATCGAATCGCCATCCCATTCAGGTGGGTGTCGCCGCCCGGGAGTCTCTGCACCGCCACCAGCGCATCCACAGCACGATTGAAGGTGACAGACTTCATCATGGCCTGGCAGGGCGTCCCAACCCGTGATTGCTTGCCTCATCGGCTCGACTCGGTACATCCACACCCAATGTCGGGGGCGCGCAAGCATGGATTAGCGATCCCTGGATTTGGCGCGCGGCCGCCGAATCCATGGATCGGGGGAGATGCCCTCGCCAAAATGCGACCGGTGCCGCCTCGCTAGGCGGCGGAGATCCGCGATTTCCATTGGAAACGGGCCCCGTCGCTAATCCACGCCCCCTTGATCCATGTTTACGATCGCCTGACAATGGCGGCCACATGCGGATGTTCGAGGCGTCCGCTCCCCGGTCATACCCGCCCCCCCCAGAGCAGGAAGACAACCTTATGGCTTTCCTGTCCATCTCGTGCACTTGCACGTGTAATTCCGAACACCACAGGGCATCTCACAACACAGCCTATCGACGCGTCGATGTATCAGCGTGCCTCAACATAATGTTGGAGAAGAGAAGCGCCATAAACATAAACGTTTGCCGCACAGCGCGGATCCAAGAAATCTGCGCGGAACGCCAACAATGAATGTTTATGGCGCTTTTCTTCCGCGATTTATACTGCGGAGCATCCGCCACCGTGCTCTGAGGAATGAGCTGGAATGTCCTCAGGCCCTGCGAGTCTTCCGTCCTGAATGGTACTGTGTTGCGGGACCCGGACCTCAAACTCTTAGCTTTGCCAAGGAGCTTCCCGCTCGACTTTCGGGGCTTCTCGCGTGCCAGGGCGTGCTCCCGCGTGCCTTTTCTCAAACCAGAAACTGGGACCCACATACGGGCCAAGAGGGCCCCAAGAGGCCCCCGAGACGGCCCAAGATGTTTCAAGACGGCCCGAGAAGCCCCCGAGGCGCCTTACGAGCGGTCCAAGAGGCCCCCCCATGAGGGCCCCAACAGGCCAAACTGTTCATTATTACTAAGGTTCTGGTAGGCCCCAAGAGGCTCCCAAGCAGGCTCCCAGACGGCCCAAGAGGCCCCAAGACGTCTCAATAAACAACCAAGACGTCCCACGACGACCTCAAGAGGGCCCCAAGGGGGGAACACGAAACTACAAGTCGAGCCCTCCGCCCCAAGATGACCGGCCAGCAGGCCCCCAAGAGCCCCCCAGAAACTCTAGGAGGCCCCCAAGAAGGCCAAATCAGCCCCTAAGAGGCCTCCAAGAGCACCCCGAGATGCCCCCAAGACACTCCAACACCGCCCCTACGAGGCATCTGAGAGGACTCCGATAGCATCGAACTCTCGCAGCCAAGCGTGCCAGAGCAGAATCGTACGTACAAGCGCAGATGCACGCAAACCAACAAAACGTACACTATAAACATGATGGGCAACACAACGTACACGACAATCCCGATGCACACGGCACACGTCAATGCACGCACCCATTAAATCATAAACACGCACGCGCACTGTTTGGCGTCGCGGCCTCGCGCGCAACGTCGAGGCGTAGAAGGTCAAAGATCGGAGAGCGGGAAACTCGCGAGGTCAACCCGCTCATAAACCAAAAACGAAGATCCACCCACAAGGGATCAACCGTGTCATACGCAAACCTGGGGCAGGGATCGGGACGGAAAGACGAGAGGGAAAACGAGGAGGACGGGAAGGCCAGTACCGACAGTGCAGGCGGGATTAGGCGAGGCACAGTCACAAACACAATCACACACAACCACATACAACCAAAATCCCAATCTCAATCCCAATCCCAATCACACGCGCACACACACACACACACACGCGCGCGCGTACATCCGTACAAATAAAATCGATGCCCTTAGCCGGACACCCCAGCTGATAATATACGTGGCACCCCGCAGATGGGGACAAGAATGAAGGAGCGGTGGGGACGTCGGCAGTCTGCGAGACTCTGGAGAAGCCCGCCGCAGGTGCCAAAGTTCCACAAATTATCAGAGTGAGGGGGCTGAACGGTCATTCATTGTCCCTGGGTGCGTGGCTGAAGTAGGGATCCGTGGTGAGGATTATGTTTGTTGCGTTGTTGTGGTTGTTGTGGTTGTTGCGGTTGTGATTGTGGTTGTAGTTGTGGTTGTGGTTGTTGTTGTTTATATTGTTGTTGTTGTTGTTGTGTTGTTGTTGTTATTGTTGTTGTTGTTTGTTGTCGTCGTCCCACCCGCGACCAACCCCGCGACCCACCCCGCGACCCACCTGCGACTCAACCCGCGACCCACCCCGCGACCCACCCCGCGACTTACCCGCGACCCACCCCGCGACCCACCCACGACCCAACAACGACCCACCCACGACCCACCCCGCGACCCACCCGCGACCCACTCCGCGACCCACCCGCGACCCACCCGCGACCCACCCGCGACCCACCCCGCGACCCACCCGCGACCCACCCCGCGACCCACCCGCGACCCACTCCGCGACCCACCTGCGACCCAACCGCGACCCACACGCGACCCAGCCGCGACACATTTGCGACCCACCCGCGAC